CCCCTTCTGTAACCTTCTCCCTCTCAGAATGTGATGACACACAAGGGAGACGCTCCATGGATGCCAGCACCTTCATCTTGGTCCTCTGAGCATCTGGAGCTGTGAGCCAGTGCAACTCTTCCATCAGCCTGCCAAGTCTGAAGAGCTCTCTGTACCGCACACAAAACAGTCTACAGCAGGACACACTGCCTTTTATCATTCCCACGTCACTGGGACCCAGCCCTTGGGAAGGAAGTGGTGCTCCCGCTACACAGGGGTGCATGACAGAATCAGCTGAGCAGAGCTGAAATCCACATTAGTCTGTACTCTTGAAGGGCAACTTGCTCTGCAGCCAAGGCTGGTCCGGAGGTGGCAGAGCTCCTGTAGTGATTTTAGGCAGCAGTGTGACGGGAACCGGATGGATCCTGACCAGGGGAAAAATTCTAATGATGCCCTTTATTGGTACTTTAGCTTTGACAGCTCAATTCCAATACTATGTATAAAATTATAGCTACTTCATAAATACTAACATTAGATATTTCTAAAGGGTAAGATAACAGGTGATTTTATTTTCCAGTAAATGGATTTCTGTATATATTTTAAGCTAATTATCCTGGCCATGAACTATTCCATTTTTTAAATTATAGTATATTAATTGCACACATTGCTGGGTTTTCTTGTGACATCTCTATCCATGCATGCAGTGTGCCGTGATAGCCTTCACCCCATTGTTATCCTTCCCTGTCCTCTCCCTCCTTTCCTGCTGGAACCCCCTCCCCCCTGAATAATCCTCCTGTCATTTGTTCTTTTCCCTCTAAACTCCGCCTCAGAAAAGACGTGCTCCCCTTCTCTCGGTAAGTTTGGCTTATTTCACTCATGATGATGATCTTCAGTTCTAACATTTTCCTGCAAATAACAGAACTTCATTCTTATGGTAGAGTAAAATGTGTGTGCATGTGTGTGTGTATGTGCGTGTGTGTTTCTCTTTATTCATTCATCTGTTGATGGAACCTAGTCTGGGTCCATAACTTTTGCTATTTGTGAACAGTCTGGCCATGGACTCTTCCAAACACCCTAAAAGGAATGGGCATATGTGGGCATGGAGAGGTCACACAGACACACACTCCGTATTTCTACAATGTACCTTGCTTCAGGAGAACGTTTTAACTCAAAATAACCCTGTTTTAAGGCTATAGTACAACATGCTGTAAAAAATATTAACAAGTTGGTATTAAGTAAGTAGTAGCATTCCTCAATCAGCGGTCCACAAAACCAGACTGAATATTTTATGACTGGACCTGCATGCTAACAAACGGACATAACAGTCTCATCACCTCTCAACAAGCCTTGCTTCCTTCATATCTCATTAGGCAGCAGTCAGACTGATCCTGTCTTGAAGTCTGAGAACACAGAAAGTGCCTCAGATAAAGCAGCCCTGGTCTCAGCTTCATTCAACGAGATGCTTCCGACCGCTAAGACAGACAAACTGCCCTGTCTCTAAAAACAGAAATAAAATAATTAGGTCACAATGGCTCTTAGGGAAAAGCGATGAAGGATAAATGTGGCTGGTGTGTTCACTGTCACTGAAATTCTTTAGCCTGGACTCCAATCAAGGGTGTCTTAATTCAAGTTACTATGACAACTTCAATTACAGAAAATGGGCCCCGTCTCCTGCCAAGTTGTTTGCTCTGGAAGATTGTCTCAAGCCTTCTGAAATTGGATGGCACAGATATAACAACAATATTGGTAACGATAAAAACACTTCTTCACAAGCTTTATGCAGAAATACCCTCATTTAAACCCTTCAAACCCAACAGAAGCATATGAAATATTTTCCATTAAAGCAACATGGGACAGAAAATGAAACCTGAAAATACATACACATGCATGCACACACATGCAGAGAGAGAGAATACAAGAGTTTAAAACACGCAATCTTGCAAGTGCTCTGAACTCCCTCTCCTCACCGGGGGCACAGTGTCTCACCATAGGCTTCATTCCAGAAACTGCATGACACTGCTTGCAGGGTAGTTCTGAAAGACTGAGCTAAGTCCTGTATTCCCCTCACTAATACCCTTCATAGAAAAGTAACAGAAGGGTTGGGGGGCAGCCTGTAGTCCTATTAGGAACAGAAAAGGCAAATAAATAATCTATAAAAAGTTTATTATTTTACCAAATCTGTCTTTTTATAGAGAATATAGGTTTCATGGGCTGGAGAGATGGCTCAGAGGTTAAGCGTACTTACAGCTCTTGCAGAAGACCTGGGTTTGGTTCCCAGCATCCATGTGGGGTGACTCACAACCAACTGTAACTACAGGGGATTCAAGCCCCTCTTCTGGCCTCCTCAGGTACCTACATGCACGTGGTGCACATACATATACTCAGGAATGCACACACACACACATAAAATAAAAGGGACTATCTATTTCCAAGTGGACAGCCCTAAATACAGGCATACACGAGCACCATTAAATGGACTCAGTGCATGATATAGGTATATTTATAAATGCATGTATGCATATGTAACAATAATAATCAAAGGAGAGGATATGAAATTGAGAGGGAGCTGGGGGTACATGGGAGGAGCTGGCAGGGACTGGGAGGGATAGAGATAATGCAAAGACTATACTCAGGTGTGAAATTCTCAAAAAACATTTTAAATAGAATATTTTTTAAAATTTCAAATTTATAAACCTAAAGGTTGCTTTGTGATAAAGTATAAATTATTCTCTATTAATCTGAAAAAGAAAATGGCTTGAGAAATGATGTCTTCACAGAGAAAATATGATTTACTAGAGATATTCTGACTGCAAGACATTAACACTGAAAAATGAAGTCAAGGGCTGGAGAGACGGCTCAGTGGTTAAGGGCACCGGCCACTCTTGCAGAGAACCTGAGTTCAGTTCCCGGCACCCGCACGTGGTTAACGGCTTTCTGTAACTGCAGCTCCAGGGGATCAGATGCCCTCTTCTGACCTCTGCAGGTGCACTTACACACATGCAGGCAATACTCTTACACATCTAAAATAAAAACTATAAAAATATTTAAAAAGAGAAACAGAGCTGCTCTATGAAAAGCAAAGTGCAGCAATGAAATGGCACAGCTTTGGTTGTCCACCGAGGTAAACCGGGCTCGGGGCCGCCGTCCTCCCCACAGGAGGAAGGCCATGTGAGCTGCCAGTGTGCGCTGGAAAGTTTCTCCCTTTCATGTACAGATACGCCCAGCTCTACACGGAATCTTCATTTATTTAAAACAAACAAGCAAAATGGCATTTTAAAACGAGGGGAAAGGGAGAAAGGCAAGAGTTTCTTTGCATTTAGTCAAGAATCAAAGGAAGAAAGAGCAAAACCTGGAAACTTCTTAGCAGCAAACACCACATAACTGCAATCCTCACCTGTACAACAGGGAGTGATCCAGAGGAACCACAACCTGAACTGCTCAAGCCCACGATCACACAAACCCTGAGCACGGAGCACAAACCACGGACCTCACATACTTTACACATGGATCCTGCTTCCCAGAGCAGTTAGCATGGAATGAAAGCTTCATGGCTCAGCAGCAGGAGCTGTTGTTTTGACGTTTGTATGTGGTCAGAGACCTCCTAGCCGAGCTGCAGAGTGCGCTCGTCCCTGTCCTTTCCAAGCCGTACTACCAGTAGCAGGATGTGGTGGTTTGAATAAAAATGTCCCCCATAGGCTCCAAATATTTGGACATTTTGTCCCCAGATGATGGCGCTGTTTTGGGAGGTTTTAGAAGTTGTGGCTATCCTGGAGGAAGCACGTCACTGGGGGTGGGCTTAGAGTGTTCTTAAGCCTTGCCAGATCTCCAGTCTCTTGCTCTCTTGCTTCTGGTACGTGGATGATGATGTGAGAGCTCAGCTTCTGCTGCTCCTGTTCCAGCCACACCCAGCCACCATGCCTCCCTGCCATGACAGACTGTAATTCCTCTGGAACCGTAAACTCTTCTTTCTATAAGTTGCTCGGGTCAGTGTTTCTATCACAGCAACAGAAAAGTGACTAATACACAGGACATGATGGACAGGGCGTAAACGGCCTCGTTAGAATCACTGTCTCACTTGCAACAGTGTGGCACGTTATTAGGTTTTTTTCTAATGCCCAAGCCCTGTAGCAGGTTTTGCATGAGAACTGAGCCAGGGAGAGGATATGGAATTCTGGTTTTAGAGGTCCAATCCCTCCAATAGTCAGGCAACTACTAGAAGGCTCTGAGGCTATACTTATTTCACAGAGGAGATTAATTATGTGAGACCTTGGAGAGCCATCATCCAGTCAAAATGCGATCACACAAGCTTTGCAAATGAACAGCTAAGGAATTTATGCGACAGCATGCTGGTTGGTGCCCTTAAAGCATTTATTCACCTGTAAAATGTGAACAGCTCACACATAAGTGATTCACTTAATACAAACAAGGTCAAACTGTTTTCCCTTCTGAGACCAGCAAGTCACAGTGAGTCACTTAAGCGTTTGGGAGACAGAAGGTAACACAGCAAACACAGGAAAACCCCTGATCAGTTTAGTTACGCACACTCACTTGAAGAGATTTCTGTGCTCTTTCACTGAAGGGAGCCTCTGACAGACATTATGGAAGAGATGAAAGTCTGAACCACAGGACATTTCAGAGTTGCCAAGATGATCATGGAGAATTGTCAGGGAAACCACAGATTCCCTAGCCCTGTTCCGTACTCTCTGCTTTAAGAGAGGCCACTAGTGTGGAGCTCTGGAAGAACTGTGCTCAGAAAGTGCACTGCCTTCCCACGTGTGCTTTACTCTGAATCGGAACCCCAGGGCTCCTTTCAAGATGCACACACTGCCAACACAAATTTGGTCTCAGGAATTCAAACACTGTGGCAAGTCCACCACTGGACTTTGCATTACAAATGATTCCCATGGCACCAGTCAACATAACTGTCAACATCTCCAAAACTCTGAAAGGTTTTGTCAAAGCAACTGACATTGGTGTTAGGCTTCTGGGATGCACACAGGGGCACAAGCTTTCTGACCCACCTCCCAGTGCAGGGGTCTCGGAGCAGGACCAGTGTGAGGTAGTCTGGAGGAAGGGCGGAGCACCACACGGGTGTTCTGGATAGTCTGCACAGGCACCTGAAAATGTACACAGTGTTCTTAGAGCAATGGCCAATTTCTATCTTAAACATGTTAAATCCCATTTAACTAACAGTCATACAAAAAGTGAAACACAAAAGCTCAGAGAGAGCTTCAAATGGTTTTCCCAAGAATAACCCTTCCCTCACCTCTCCCCACTCAGCCATCTGAATGGCATAGCTTGTGGGGTGGTTTTCTGTTCAGTTTCAATGAACATTTTTGTGCCTTTGGAAAAGGAATTTCAGTTGTTTCTTTAAAGATCATTTGACGTGCCATGGTCAAACGGAAAGGGTTCTCACCCTCTTTCTCACTGAAACACCACAATAACTTCTTGAAAGCAGATACCAGTTAGTCATTTGGAAAACTGCCTAAAGCCAGGGCTAAAAATGAAGTTAAGATCTCGGGATTTTGGTCTTAAAAACAAAAACAGGGCACGCTTTTCCTTGGTGAGAACAAATGGTGACCACTGACGACCCTCAGGAAGGCAGCCGTGCAAGCAGAGCAGCAATTCCTTTGACCGCTCTGTTGCCTAATGCTGCAGGAACGAATGGGAAGCTCTGCCCAGGCATCCCCACGAAGCAGGTGAAGCCTGGGCCGCCGAGGGATGGGAGTTCACGTGATTCATGCCTGCCATGTGCAGACCACGCCCTTCATGGACTATTCTGCATTTAAGAAAGTTTAGAACAAGACCAGCTCCCACTGACCATCTTGACCATTTTCAAAAATATACCCAGACAACGAGCTACTTTTCTTATGAATAGAAGACCCCATGCTAAAATGTCTCAATTCTTAAATTCCCAGTCGTGAAATATCAAACGGGAAGCAGAGGAGGAATGTGCCCCAAGTGTGATGCAAAACAGAAGAAAACATACGCGTTTCAAACATAACTGAGGAACAGCTCACAGGTGGCCTTCAGTGGCTAGCCTACACAGGGGCTACCTCCAGAAGCCAGTTACTAAATACAACTTCATGTAACTTTAGAGTCACTACTACATTTATTTATTTATTTATTTATTTATTTATTTATTTATTTATTATTTGTGTGTGTTTGTGTGTGTGTGTGTGTGTGTGTGTGTGTGCATAGTCTGAATGGCAGTCAGAGTACAACTTTCAAAGTGGTTCTCTCCTTCTACCAATTGAGTCTCAGGAATTGAACTCATGTTGTTAGGCTTGGCAGCAAGCACCTTTACCTCTGAGCCATCTCAACAGCCCCTGACTATTTTTCAAATCCTGCTGTAGTTGCGATGCAAAGATGTGTAAGTAGGGCCAGTTCCCAGATTCTAGAGGACCAAGAGAGTAGCAGTCTTACTGATTCTCCAATGACAATACCAGGCTGCAAACCATCCTTGAGCTCCTGCTTCATGGTGAATGCTGGGTAAGGGCCTCTTCAACTATCCTTACCCACATAGTCCTCCAGAAGACACACTTGTGGATGAAGGGACCCAACAGAAGAGCCTGCCCGCAAGGGTCATCCAAAGAGGAAGGAGGGACAGCCACTTCAGAACCAAGTCGGGGGAGGAGGCAGGCAGCCACCACCTGGAATCTTACTCTCGCTAGGAAGCTGCCTGGACCTACCCTGGGTGAAAAATGTGGTTTTTTTTTTTTAGCCAAAAGCAAACTGTCTTCCCTTCATCTTCTCTAAAAGCTTCATCTCCATTTTTGGTTTTGTTTCAAGAAAAGTGAGCAGTTGAGGAGTCTCTACAACTGACACAATCATTATCTTCTTTTGTTCACAAAACAATGCAATTACCAGAGCCAGGCTTTAAACAGCCAGAGAGACCAGGTGATTCCTTCCTCACTGGTAATCCAGAACACACTAAGTCACACACAGGCTGAGGTCACATTGCTCCTTTTTAAACTCTTATTGTAAACTCTGACCAAGTCAGGGCTGTCCTGGGGCCACAAGCCTGTGCTTTAGGACACCCACGGGGCAGGCAGGATTTATGAGAAAGCCGGGGCAGGGGTCCTCAGGCCCCGCCCTCTCTTCCAGTCCCTTGAGGCATCAGCTGTCTCTCTGGTGATCACTATGTCCAACCATCAAAACTCGCCAACCCACCAGTCCCTTCTACCAGGTCAGTTCATAGGCTGATTAAACAGAAAATATCAAATCCTGTCAAGTCTTACTGCTTTTCAGTATCTCCCTAAAATTTTGGAAACTTCTCGGCTTTTTGTAACATCTTCCACAGCTGCACTGATAAAAGTTCCACAAACAACCAGAAGATCAGACAAGTGCAAGCCTCTACAAGGCACTAAGAAATGAACTTACATAGGGGTGATATGGGAGAACCATGGTGTGCTGTCTTTGCTTACCTGCCCTAAGATAAGCCAGAAGCAAGGGGTACAGATGTTGAATCAGCCTAATGGAGAATCCACATGGTGAGCGAGGACCCAACACCCACCAACAGTCAGGCATGTAGGTTAGCCTCCTCAAAAGCAAATCTTCCAGTTCCAGTCAAATCTCCATACAGACTACGCAGAATGTGGTACAGCATCTGGACTGAAACCTTACGAAACATTCTAAGCCAGAACCCTTATCCAGGCCAGTCCTCGATTCCTGACCCCAAACTAGGTGAGATTTTAAAAGTTATTTTAAGTCTTTAAACTTGTCATACAGCAACAGATAATTAACTAATATACCTATGATCACCCATACAAGCTTTAGGTTAAATTAAAAGGTTTGTAAGAGCAGGGTGTATTGGCACACACCTTTAATCCAAGCATGTGAGAACAGAGGTAAGCTGATCTCTGTGAGTTCAAGGCCAGCCTGATTTACTTGGTGAGTTTGAGGCCAGGTAGGAATACATAGTGAGATCCTATCTTAAAAAAAGAAAACTGTAAGAAGGCAAATAGACGGGCTGAAGAGATGGCTCAGTGGTTAAGAACACTGGTTGTTCTTGCAGAAGACCCAGGTTCAAATCCCAGCACCCACATGGCAGCTAACAACTGTCCATAACTCTAGTTCCAGGGGATGACAGCCTCTTCTGACTGGTACAGGCACTACACAACACGGGTGCACTTACCTACACACATACACATAAAATAAATAAATTTTTTTTAAAAAGGCAAATAGAAATCACGGATGCCAATTAGCATGATATCACATAACTCCTAAACACTGAACAAACCCAAAGCAAAGTGCTCAAGAACAATTTAAGAGCAAAATAAATTCCAGTTTCCAAAGATTTCTGTCTAGTCTTTCTGTTTTTATAACAGAAGTAAAGGATAGGAACTCTGCATTTCCTTGCAAATGACTCTTGATGACTGACAATTGATGGGTATGCTCCCTTATTCAAAAGCAGGCCAGCAGGAACGGTAATCA